TGACTGCACCATGCCAGGCTCCCCTGTCTTTCACCATCTCCTGCTCAATCAAATTTCATGTCCATTGAGTCAGTGATGGTGATGGCAGCCATGAAATTAAAAGACGCTTGCTCCTGGGAAAAAAAATTATGACCAAACTAGACAGCATATTAAAAAGCAGAGATATGACTTTGCCAACAAAGGTCGGTCTAGTCAAGGCTATGGTTTTCCCAGTAATCATGTATGGATGTGAGAGTTGGACTATGAAGAAAGCTGAGCACTGAAGAATTGATGCTTTTGAACTGTGGTATGGGAGAAGACTCTTGAGAGTCCCTTGGACTGCAAGGAGATCCAACCNTGAGCTCCCCGTGCGGCTCGGCAGCTTCCCTCCTGCTGTGTGTGGATGTGGATGTGTATACACACAGCGGTGTGTGTGTGTATCCCTGTCTGTGTCACACACGGGGGGGGGTGTCCCTGTCTGTGTCACACACGGGGGGTGTGTGTGTCCCTGTCTGTGTCACACACGGGGGTGTGTGTGTCCCTGTCTGTGTCACACACGGGGGTGTGTGTGTCCCTGTCTGTGTCACACACGGGGGTGTGTGTGTCCCTGTCTGTGTCACACACGGGGGTGTGTGTGTCCCTGTCTGTGTCACACACGGGGGTGTGTGTGTCCCTGTCTGTGTCACACACGGGGGTGTGTGTGTCCCTGTCTGTGTCACACACGGGGGTGTGTGTGTCCCTGTCTGTGTCACACACGGGGGTGTGTGTGTCCCTGTCTGTGTCACACACGGGGGTGTGTGTGTCCCTGTCTGTGTCACACACGGGGGTGTGTGTGTCCCTGTCTGTGTCACACACGGGGGTGTGTGTGTCCCTGTCTGTGTCACACACGGGGGTGTGTGTGTCCCTGTCTGTGTCACACACGGGGGTGTGTGTGTCCCTGTCTGTGTCACACACGGGGGTGTGTGTGTCCCTGTCTGTGTCACACACGGGGGTGTGTGTGTCCCTGTCTGTGTCACACACGGGGGTGTGTGTGTCCCTGTCTGTGTCACACACGGGGGTGTGTGTGTCCCTGTCTGTGTCACACACGGGGGTGTGTGTGTCCCTGTCCGCGTCACACATGGGGTGTGTGTGTGTCCCTGTCCGCGTCACACATGGTGCCGGTGTGTGTCAGCGCTACTGTTCCAGCGTGTCCCGCCCTCTCCTTCCCTGGCTGTGACCACAGATCGGTTCTCTGTGTCTGCATAAACACACTTTTTAGTGCATGATGCGGTGCTGCTGGCTGCAGGTACAGTGGGGCACAGATGAAGCCCAGCGATCGGCATCCTGCTCATTGGAGACGGACAGCATCCAGTCACTGGACTCAGCCTCCTGGTCGGGGTATTTTACAGACCCAGCTGCTGCCTGTGTCTCTTGAACACAAGGCTGCTCAAATCCCCGTTGTATAGCCGCCGCTGGCACATTTTGTGGGTTTCTGTTGAGGATAAATTCCTAGACACGGAACTGAAGCACGGGTCAAAGAGATGAAATTGTGTACAAACTCCCAGTCTATCCCTGGGGTTGGCAGATGCGTTTAGGATGGATGAACAACAGGAGAGGTCCTACCATGTAGCAGAAGGACTATATCCGGTCTCCTGGGATCAACCATCTCAGAAAAGAATACTCCAGTAACAATTAATTTAAAAAGTAAGGTAGGTAACCAACAAGGACCTACTGCACAGCACAGGAAACTGTACCCAATACTCTGTAATAACCTAAAAGAGAAAAGAACTTCTGAAAGAATAAATTCATGTATGTGTATAACTGAGTCACTTTGGTGCACGCTTGAAACTAGCACATTGTTAATCAACTACTCCGATATAAAATAAAAAATTTTTTAAGTAAAAAACAATTTATAGATAAAAACTTGAAAAAGAGTAAAAAAATGTATATATGTGTATGACAGAGTCACTTGTACAAGAGATGGGCACAACACTCTAAATCAACTATACTTCAATTAAAGGTAAATAAAACATTTTTAAACTTTTTACAGTAAAATATCTGAATTGTACAGGAGCAGGCAGAGTGCAGTGAACACCTACCTATCTGCCCAACACTTTGCTTAGACCCCTGTGAACCTGTGGCTATATATATTTTAGCCGTGTATATGTGTCTGTTTCAAAGTTCATCACTTTACATTATGAGATGCCCTCTGCGGGGCTTCCCTGGTGCTAAAGAATCCGCCTGCCCACGCAGGAGTCCGGGCCAGGAAGAGCCCAGCTGCACAGGGCAGCTGAGCCACGAGCCGCAGCTGCCGAGACCGCGCTCTCAGAACCCAGGAGGCGCAAGCGCCGGGCCCACCCTGGAGCCTGCACTCCACATGAGAGGTCACCGGAGCGAGACGCCCACACTCTGCACCTAGAGAAGGCCTGCCCACAGCCACGAAGACCCCGCACAGCCGGAAGTACGCACGTAGATAAAATGCTTTTAAAAGAGAAACGCCCTATATGAATGAGTGACATGAACACACAGAATATTCCAGTCCATCATTTAGAAGAGGACTTGTGTAGAGGCTGGCTTTTTACTGAAAGATTTTAGCTTGAGGTGATCACAGATTCACTAGCACTGCACTCTCTTTTTTAATTTTTATTTTATATTGGAGCATAGTTGATTACCAAGTGGCGCTAGGGTAAAGAACCTGCCTGCCAATATAGGAGACATAAGAAACGCAGGTCTGATCCCTGGGTCGGGAAAGATGCCCTGGAGGAAGGCATGGCAACCCGCTCCAGTATTCTTTTCTGGAGACTCCCGTGGTCAGAGGAGCCTGGGGGGCTGTGGTCCACGGGGTCGCAGGGAGTCAGACACGACTGGAGTGACTGAGCACGCAGGCATCGTGGATTAACAATGCTGTGTGAGTTTCAGGTGTGCAACATGAGGATTCAGCTGTACATATGCATGTATCAACTCTTTTTCAAATCTTTCAAGTTGCTTGCTCCTTGGAAGAAAAGCTATGACAAACCTAGACAGTGCATGAAAAAGCAGAGACATCACTTTGCCGACAAAGGTGCGTGTAGTCAGAGCTATGGTTTTTCCAGTGGTCATGTATGGCTGTGAGAGTTGGACTATAAAGAAGGCTGAGCACCGAAGAATTCATGCTTTCAAACTGTGGTGTTGGAGAAGACTCTTGAGAGTCTCCTGGACAGCAAGGATATCAAACCAGTCAACTCTAAAGGANCACCTGATGCAAAGAGCCAACTCATTGAAAAAGACCCTGACGCTGGGAAAGATTGAGGGCAGGAGGAGACGGGGGCGACAGAGGATGAGATGGTTGGATAGCATCACCAACTCAGTAGACACAAGTTTGAGCAAGCTCTGGGAGATGGTGAAGGACCGAGGAGCCTGGCATTCTGCAGTGCATGGGGTCACAATCAGTTGGACATGACTTAGCTGCTAAACAACAACAATATGTATCAATACGGCACCAGGAACGCACGACAATGTAACCCAATGACTTTAGCTGACAGTGACTTGTCACTCTGTTCATTGACTGAAACAAGTGTCCCACCCTTGGGTGGGGGAGGGGGTGTCAGTAATGGGCTTTTCTGTACGTGGGGCCAGGGGTGTGGGAAATTGTCATGCTTTCTGCTCAACTTTTCTGTGAACCTACGCTGCTGTAAAAAAATCTACTAGAAAAAACAACAACAACTGGGTACGTTCGTGTGTGGCACGGTTTTCTAACCCAGCTTTCCCTACAGGCTGTAAGCGTGAGTGTCTGCCCCAGGTCTGACTCACAGTTATTCCTCAGTGACCCGTTTTCTTCCAGATTCTTTCTGTCATCTGGTACTCTAAAGTTGTGGTTCTCAAAGTGTGTTCCTTAGGCCAGCCAAGAACTTGTTAGAAATGCACGTTCTCTGACCTTATCCCAGACCTGTTGATTCAGAAATTATGGGGGTGGGAGCCACCACTCTGACCACAAACTGGCCCCGCGAGGGGTTCCCATGACCCTCGGGTTTGAGAAATGCTGGCCTAGAAATAGCCTGTCTTCAGCGGGTTCCTCGTGTGAGCCATACAACTCTGACAGTGGTGTCACAGCCTCTGTTTCTCAGCTGCCCCGAGGATGCTGTTTCCCTAAAACCGTTCTAGGTGCAGAGCAGAAAAGCCCGTTCACTGACTTCATCCAGCGGTTAGGAAATCAGAGGCTCGTGTTGATGTGTTGCAGAAACCAACACAAGATTGTACAGCAATTATCCTTCCATTAAAAATAGATAAATTTAAAAAAAAAGAAAGAAAATCAGAGAAGCGAAGAAAGTAAAGGATAGCTTCGTACAAAAAGAGATCAGGGACTTTTCCCTGGTGGTCCAACGGTTAAGACTCCCCACTCCCTCTGTAGGAAGCCTGGGTTCAAACCCTAGTCAGGGAACTAGAGCCCGTGTGTCACAACTAAGAGCTCACAGGCCCCAGCTGAGACCCAGGACAGCCAAATAAATAAGTAGATAAGTGATCTTTGAAAAACTTTATTTTAAAAAAAGGAAGGGAGGGGATATATATATACTTATGGCTGATTCATGTTGAGGTTTGACAGAAAACAGCAAAATTCTATAAAGCAATTATCCTTCAATAAAAAACTAAATTAATGTTTAAAAAAAAAAGGAAAAAGAGATCAGATTCATGGTTACCAGAGGTGGGAAGTGGAGAGGGAGGGTTGGATGAAGGTGGTCAAAAAGTACAAACTTCAGATTGTGAGATAAATGAGTACTAGGGGTGTGATGTACAATGTGATCAATATTGTTAACACTGCTGTGTGTTATGTGTGAATGTTAAGAGGAGTGAATCCTGGGAACTCCCTGGCAATCCAGTGGCTGGGATTCTGTGTCTTCACTGCCAAGGACATGGGTTCAATCCCAAGTCGGGGAACTGAGATCCCACAAGCCAGCCGGCATGGCCAAACAGATAAATAGATAGACTTCGCTTTAAAAAAGAAACGTAAATCCTAAATGTTCTCATCACAAGGAAAAAGCTTTCTTTTTCTTTTTTCTGTCCTGCAGCTAATGAGACAATGGAAATTCACTAAAACTGTGATCATCGCTTCGCGATGTTTGTGAGTCAAACCGTGATGCTGTGTGCCTTACACCTACATGCTGGATGTCAGAGATATCTCAGTGAAACTGGAAGGAAAAAAAAATAAAGAAAAGGAGAGTCCTCCATGAAATAAGTGGAGACATGGCCTAGGAGAAGACTCCTTCCGTTGTCCACAAAGACGTGGGTTTTGACATCTGTAGACGTGGAATTCCATCCAGTCACACATGTGGTGTGGAACGCAGTGGAATTCAAGGGAGAGGTCTGGGCTGGGGTGGAGACGTGGGAACTTTAGGCTGAGCAGAGCCGGGGAGAGGATGACGTGGTGTGGGGAGAGGAGAGAGAGAGGGAATAAAATAAATGTTCATTACAATTTTTAAATGAAAAAAAGGTTATTAATAATCACCTCCTTCACATGAATTTTGGAGGATGCAGCTCCATCCATAACGGAAGGTCTGGGATGGGGGCCTGAGATCCTGCGTTTCTACAAAGCCCCCCAGGGGACGCCCGTGCTGCTGGTCTGCGGACCACGCCAAGCAGTGAGGCCCGTAGAGGTGAGCTCGGCGGGGTCGCTCAGTCGTGTCCAACTCTTGGCGACCCCGTGGACTGTAGCCCGCCAGGCTCCTCTGTCCATGGGATTTCTCCAGCAAGGATACTGAACTAGGTTGCCATTTCCTCCTCCAGGGAGAAGTTACTTTCTCCCCGAATCTTTTGTGACCCCATGGACTGTAGTTCAGCAGATTCCTCTGTCCATGGAGTTCTTAAGGCAAGAATACTAGAATGGGTGGCCAGTCCCTTCTCCAGGGGGATCTTCCTGACCCAGGAATCGAACCCAGGTCTCCTGTATTGCAGGCAGATTCTCTACTGCTGAACCACTGGGTTAAGGCCCGTCATTCTGGAAACGTCTGCTGTGGCCCATTTGAAGCATCCCGTGGGAGCAGGTTAGAAATGCAGGTTCGCAGGCCCACCCAGATTTAACGGCGTGGAAACTCCAGGGCATTCATGCACGGTTCAGCCACGTGTCTCTCATCCCCACTGTTCCCTTCCCGCCTTCACCTCAGCGATGTCCGATTGCCCAGGTCACCACATTCTCTACGTGGGTGGCGTCTCCAGCCATGGAGGACCTGGAAACGAGGATGCAGAGACCTGGTTTCCTGTGAAGTCGACTCTGAGCGTGGGACCGTGGCACGCACGCCTGCTGGGGCTCGGTGGGCCCCAGCCCGTCCCGGAAGGCCTCAGCTCTCCGCACGGGGGTGTTTCACTGTCTGTCTGCAGCAGGTGAGAGGCTCAGGCTGTTGCCGTGGGAACAGCCCCAGGTAGGGGTGGGGGGCTGAGGAAGAAGCTTTAGAGACTGGAGTTTTCCGAGCCCCGCAAAAACAGATCCGTGCAGGCTCAGAGCAGCATCTGGGCACGCTGTGGGGCATCGTCTGCAGGTGTTTGAGCAAGCCACCAGCCCAGCCCCTGCCGTGAGCCTGTCTGTCTGCGTGTCACAGAGAAGCTGCTGGGCGAGAGCGGCACTGGAGTCTTGGGGCGGCTGCTTTAGTCCTCCCGGTTATGACAGCTCATCCGTGGGCGACGGAGTCGGCAGGGGGAAAGGGAGCGTGGCCCGCTCAGCCGGTGCTGCGCGCTCAGTCCCTTCAGGCACGTCCGGCTCTCTGCCACCCCAGGGACTGTAGCCCCCCGGCTGCTCTGTCCACGGGGTTCTCCAGGCCAGGACACTGGAACACGTTGCCATTCCCTTCCCCGCCCCCATCTCCCACGTCTCTTGCACTGGCGGGCCTGGGAAGCCCCAGATGATGGCAGAGCAGTGAGGAAAATTAAACCAAGCCGGGACGCAGCAGTAACCACCTGTGGGCGTCAACCCGTGGGGCCCTGGGGGTGAGGTCTGTGACCCCGCCTCAGCCTGCAGCTTGCTGCCTTTGGTTGGCATCCTGTTCTTGAGACTTGTCCCTGTCCACTTGGGTGGCCTTGGCTGTATATGGTAATCGCCTTGTGACCACATCATCATGCATTTATTCCTCCTCCTCGTGGTGGGCACTGGGGCTGCTCCGCATCCTGATTTTTGAGTTGTTTACCTTTGGTATCGCAATCCCTCCAAATATCTCACACAGTACCCAGTGCAGGTATTTACTGAATGAATGGAGGTTGCGGGGAACATCCTGTGGCTGCGTTATCCACGTGCTGCAGAATTTCTCCAGCTCAGATAGGCACAGAGGGAAGCGAATTCTGTTTTTAGATGGTGCTGGGTTTCCTGAGGCTGTGTTTTCTTCATTTTCTCTTGGCAGCTCCATATGCAAGGACCTGCCTTGTGTTCATCCTTCAAAACGTTCCCAGCATCTGGTGCAAAGTGTCATAGAGCCTTGGTTTGCGTATCTCAGATATGGGTGAGTACATGAATGGATGCATTTTTTTTCCCCTCAAAATTGGCATTGAGCCATCTACTCATATGTTTATCCTGCCTTTTCATTGAACGTACTATAACATCTGATGTGCCTCAAGAGACAAGACCTTTTAGGAGGAAAGAGTTCATTTCACGCGATGATCGTGTGCATGTGTTGTATACACTTGTAGCCAATTTCTTGCCGTCCCAAAGAGGTGATAACCGCTCTGTAGATTTCTGAATATTCGTGAATGTTCATAGACTTTAGAGTCCCAGAAATGGACTTGCTATATCAAAGCACACACACTTATGTACTTATAAATGTATTTTTAATTGAAGGATACTTGCTTTGCAATATGGTGTTGGTTCCTGCCATACATCCACATGAATCAGCCGTAGGTTTACATGTGTCCCCTCCCCGTGAATCTCCCTCCCGCCTCCCACCCCATCCCACCCCTCTAGGTCGTCCCAGAGCACAGGGTTTGAGCTCCCTGCGTCACATAGCAGATTTCCACCAGCTGTCTAATTTTACACATAGTAATGTCGATGTTTCAATAATGCTCTCTCAATGCATACCACCATCTCCTTCCCCACCTGCCATGTCCCCAAGTCTGTTCTCTACATCTCCATTGCTGCCCTACAGGTAGGTTCATCGGTACCATCTTTCTAGACTCCATATATAGCGCTAGTATGTGACATTTGCCTTTCTCTGTCTTTCTGACTTACTTCACTCTCTATAACAGTCTCTAAGCTCATCGACCTCATCAGAACTGAGTCAGAAGCATTCCTTTTTATGGCTGAGTAATATTCCACTCATGTGTATATGTGCCACAACTTCTTTACCCACTCATCTGTCATCGGACATCTAGGTTGCTTCCACGTCCTAGCTGCTGTAAATAGAAAGCACACACACATTTTAGGATACAGTACCTATGGTCAAATACACGCTCGACCACCAGCATTTGAGAATGTCCATTTCCTGGGAACCTTCCTGACTTTTTCCCTCAACTTTGCCACTTCAAAATATCACCTTCCCCAAGCCCTTTAGCGCCGGATGTCTGTTTTGATACTAGAACTGTGATGGCGTGTCTTTATTGTGGTTATCACACACGCGAACACCCTCCTGTAAATAGTCGATTCACATCCTTTGCGCATTCTTCTACTTTCGGTGTTCAGCTTTCTCTCTGCGTGACTCTTCACGTACTTGTGAAATAAAGCCCTGTACCGTCACCTGTGTTTCTACGTATTTGCCCTGGGGTGGCCATTTCAGTCGTAGGTCCAGTGGAAGTTCCTCTCTTACATACATTTTTCAATGCTAGTGGTGTCAGCTTTGCAGGTTTGTTCCTATTTTGTGCTCATTGACTTTTGGCCATGTTTAGTAAACCCGCCTTCATCCTCTTGCTTCAAAAATAGTCTCTTCTGTTTTCTTGCCATGACTATGAATCGAAAGCCAGGAGTCCTGTCCTCTGCTCCAAACACTGCTTTTCCTACCCAGACAGAACTCTCAGGCCAGACTGCTCAGGAGAATCGCCACGGGGCACTTGTGGCTGATAAGCATTTCAGACATGGCTGGGCTGAATTAAGATGTGCCACATGGTGGGTTTCAAAGACTTGGTATGAATGTGCGTGTTCAGTCGTGTGTGAGGCTCTTTGCGACCCCCCCATGGACTGCAGCACGCCAGGCTCCTCTGTCTATAGAATTTTCCAGACAGGAATACTGGAGTGGGTTGCCATTTCCTTCTCCACTCGGTATGAGTAAAATGATGTGAAATGTCTCATCGACAACTTTTACATCAATAATGTGTTGAAACAGTAGAATTTCTGATGTATTGGGCTACACACAATGTATTAGTAAAGTCAATTCCACCTCATTTTTTTTGTTTTTGGTGAATTAGGTTTTATTTATGTGGACTGGGAGAAACAGGTCTGACTTTAATTTAGTGTTGTTATTCAGTCCCTAACTCGTGTCTGACTCTGCGACCGCGTGGACGACAGTGCACCAGGCCTCCCTGTCCTCCACCATCTCCCAGAGGTTACGCAGACTCACGGCCATTGAGTCGGTGATGCCCCCCAACCATCTGAACCCCTGTCGTCCCGTCCTCTTGCCCTCAGTCTTTCCCAGCATCAGGGTCTTTTCCAGCTCGTCTCTTCAGCTCAGGCGGCCAAGCACTGGAGCTTCAGCTTCTGCCTCAGTCCTTCCCATACCCCAAATGAGAGACTCTGGCTCGTGACAAAAGTCCTCAGCATGCTATGCTCCACAGTGAGGGTATCTTGCGAAAGCTGTCAAATATGAATTAGAACGGCAGGTGTAGACACTTTCATATCAGCTGAGACCTTTTTTGTATCTCTGAAGGCCGTGCCAGAAGCTGAGCCAGGTCCTTAGTGCTTTTTTAAGAATTGATTTTCATTGAGGTCTAGTTCTTTGCGGCGTTGTGCTCGTTTCTGCTGTCCAGCGAAGAGAGCTCAGCCGCACACGTGCGTGCACCCCCTCCTCTCCGGACGTCCTTCCCACTGAGATCACTGCAGAGTGCGGGGGAGAGTCCCCGCACCCCGCGTCGGTCCTTGTCAGTCACCTGCTTTGCACGCAGCGTCCGTCGAGGACCTGTGTCCCTCCAGCCTCCCAGCTCATCCCGCCTCCCTGCTGTCTGTGCACTTGTCTGTCTACGTCTGGGGCTCTTATTTCTGCTCTGCAGATGAGCTCATCTGCACCACTTTTCTCGACTCCACATGTAAGCGATGATCGTATGACGTCTGTCTTTCCTCGGTCTGACTGGCTCCACCCTGTATGACAGCCGCTCAGTCCATCCGTGTCTCTTCTGATGGCACTGTTGCGTTCCCTTTTGTGGCTGAGTAACCCCACCTCCTTCAAAACAGGTAATAGGGAATAAAGGTGGTGTGCCCCCTCGGCTAACAGAAAACTCAGTTTCAAGGTGGTGCGCATCGCGATCTGGCAGCATCGCTCCAGGGCCCTCAAGACAGCGTCATATGCGAGACAGCAAAGGAGACGCAGATGTAAACGGCAGACTGTTGGACTCTGTGGGAGAAGGCGAGGGTGGGATGGTTTGAGAGGAGGGCATTGAAACGTGTATATTACCATATGTGAAATAGGTGACCGGTGCAAGTTTGATGCATGAAGCCGGGCACTCAAGGCGGGTGCTCTGGGACATCTCAGACGGATGGGATAGGGAGGGAGTGGGGGGGGGTCAGGATGGGGTGCGCATGTGTACCCACAGATGATGCATGTTGATGTGTCGCAAAAACCATCACAATACTGTAAAGTAATTAGCCTCCAAAAAGAAAAAAAAAGACAGCATCTGTAGTCACAGGAAGGACCTGGGCCCAACTGAAACAAATCGAAGAGGTTCAGACGGCAGAAGCCGTTCTGACTGGAGACTCTCAGTCCACCAGAAGTGGTCTGAACGTCAACATCAGGCCCCGCTGCCAGATAAAACCCCAGTTCAACGACCCACCATGGAATTTTTTCCCTGATTAATGAGCTGGATGCTGGACTGGAATCTGAGCAATATATACATTGCCATCCAACCCGGGGAGGGACCGACTTTCTCAGAAAGAGCACAACCCAGCCAGTGTTCTGGAAACCTCTTTCCAGACCATAAAAAGACGAAATGCCAGCCATCCGTTTTGTGGAGTGCGTCCCTTCACTGACTTCCTTCCCCCCACCCTCTTCATTTTCTGGGGGTGAGTGTCCTGCCCTCTCTGGTCCCACTTCCTGGCTCGAGGGTCTCTTGGGGGTCCCACTGTGTAGATATCCACTGCGTGTGGATATCTCACCTTGTGGTGCCTGATGCCAGCCTACCCCCAGCTGAAGGGAACTCTGTTGTGCGTTCAGAGCAGAGCTGGACACGTAGGAATTCACCTTGGTATGTTTTCATAACAGCTTTACTGAGATGTCCTTCACAGACTCTACAGTTCATCCAGAGTATTCACAGAGTCACATTAGTCACCACCACCATGCATGTTATTTTATTTATTTACTTTTGTTTATCTGGCCGTGCAGCGGCTTAGCCGCGGCCTGTGGGAACATCAGTTGCTGCGCTGGCATCTCATCCCCAACCAGGGGTCAAACCCAGGCCTCCTGCACCAGGAGCTCAGAGTCAGCCCCGTGACCACCAGGGAAGCCCGGTCACAGTGAGTTTTAGGACGTTCTGTCCAGAAAGAAACCCTGGGCTCGTTGGTGGTCGCTGTCCCTTTCTTTCAGCTCCCCTGGGCCCTAGGCAGCACACTGACCTACCTTCTGTCTCTGTAGGTTTCCTGTCCTGAGTCACATACAGCCTTTGGTGGTCAGCTTCTTTTACTTATCTTAATTTTTCAAGTTCATCTATGTTGTAACATGTTATTACCTGTAACATGGGATTTTTCCAGGCAAGAATACTGGAGTGGGTTGCCATTTCTTTCTCCAGGGGATCTTTCCGACCCAGGGATCAAACCTGCGTCTCCCACATTGCAGGTGGATTCTTTTCCACTGAGCCACCAGAGAAGCCCTATTCTAATATGTCTCAGCACTTAATTTCTCTTTATGGGTAAATATATTTCACTGTATGGATAGACCATGCTTTATTTGTGGGCTCATAAGTTGATGGACATCTCAGTTTTTTCACTTTTTGGCTATTATGGACAATGCTGCTATGAAAATTTAGGTACAAGTTTTTGTAAAAAGTTAGGTTTCATTTCTTTAGGAGTGGAGACCCTGGATCATACAGTAATCCCATCATAACCTTTCAAGGGGCTGCCACTGTTGTCCAAAGCGCCTGCACTATTTTACATCCCCAGCAGCATTTACGAGGATTCCAATTTCTCTACACCTTACCAATACCTGCTTAAAGCCATCTTTTTTGCCACAAAGCACAACTTGCCGGACCTTAGTTCCCCCAGGGGTGGAGCCTATGCCCCCTGCCGTGGGAGCACAGATTCCTAACCCCTGGGCCACCAAGGAGTTCCCTCAGTCCAGTTCAGTCACTCAGTCGTGTCTGACTCTTTGCGACC